AACTAATAAATACATGAGGATTAAATTAAATAAAACAAATTCGTCCGCATTGGGCGAAATCTGTCTCATTTTCATCTACCGACCCGATATATCGAAATCTGTTTCATTTCGTGGTTGTACATTTTCTATCGGTCGTGAAACGAGAATGCTGCGGTTTGGAAATGTTCGTGTAACTCATCGGAAATCACGGAGGAATATGTACGTCATGCTCATCGTAAGTCTTGACACTCCACAAATGCAGTCGGCAGCCATCCGGACAAAGTGACGATTTGGAAAGATTTTCTCGAAAGTAAATAATTATACATTTGATCAAGAACAAAAGAAATATGCAAAACCTAATTTTATTGAAGATTTTATTCCAACCAATGAAGAAGTTGTCTGCCAGGCTGTGAATGTTAATGTTTGCCAGTGAACAGGATCAATTCTGGTTTTGAGTTTACAATGCGAACCGTTTCTGGCACTGGTGAACCAGGTTTTGTTTGCCACCAAAAAGATGGTGATGTATTGATCTTAGCAATCGAAATCAAGAGCACACACATTTTAAACAATGTCACACCTGACCAAACGTTACATGAAGTTTATGAAGGGAATGCTAAAGTGAGGATGGTCATACAGCAACTCTACAACTACTTGTCAGAAAACGAACTTAAATATGGAATACTTTCTACTTATGATTGTAGTTGGTTTGTTAAGAGAGAACATAGATGTCTATATATATCAAACTCTCTTGGATATGATTCGACATATCCACCAGTTCTAAAAACCTACACCTATCTGGCCCAGCAGGCAATTGACAATGTAAATGGTCATCATTCCCCTCATGCCAACATTATTCCACAAGCTGATGATTCACAATGTAATTCTCGAAAACGCCGATATGATGATCCTAGCTCAAGACAACCCCCTTCTGGAAAAAGTCAACTAACACTGGCTTCATCCTCCAAAGAATCATCTTCCAGTACTTCTGGGAAAACATCAGGAAAACAAGCCATGGAAGCACAGAGTTTTAAGTATGGGGATTTTAAGTATACAAGTATATTAAGTGTTGGAGAAAACAAAAAGGTTCTTGAATGTGAATTCCGTGGGAAACCAATTGTCTTAAACCTAATTGTCTGGATGAATTGTGGAAGGAAGTTGAAATATATAGAGTTCTTGCTAAACTTCAGGGTGTATATATTCCAGAACTGTTGTTTTATGGGGATTTGGCAGAGGGAATGAGCTTTGTTATGGGATTGAGTATTGTTGGCCCACATTGTATCACCATAAGATAAATAGATGGCAAAAGAAACGGGCTTAGTGCATTAAAAAGAATTCATAATTGTAAAATTCTTCACAATGACATTCGTGAAGAAAATATCCTGATTGATGAAAGAGGATATATTTATTTGACTGATTTTGGTATGTCAATTCAAAATTATGATGAGAGGTTGTTTCTTAAAGAGAAGTCTGAATTATCACATTTGTTAGATTGCTATATGTGATTAATATCAAATATTAGCTAGCTAATTTAATGATTCATGTACCAGAGTTTGTAGATGGCTTATATGATTATGAATAAAGTAACATTGCTATACAATTTGTAAAATTTATATATAGGACTATCCGTATATGATAAATAATGAATATAATGGCTCCACTGAATATGACAAAGCCATACGTTTCTTGGAATTAGGTTGCAATTGTGGTTGCTCAAAAGAGATTCCGAGAGAAAGGTTTACCGAATTACGTGAAGCGTTTCAAGCTCTCTCTAGATCCGAACAAGATATTTTTTTAATGGCCCAGCTGAAAGCAATGAATGGCGGAGAAATAACTGCCAGTCGACGTCTTAAAAAGAAAACTCGTACTAATAAGCGAACGTTTTACTACTGAGATCGCAA